CTTCCTATAACTAAACAAACTGACCACTGCAGTGCCTGAAACAGGGGAGTGCTGTGTTACACTCCTTCCTCCTTGGGAATCCATGCTCTTAATATGACAGTACAGCAGAATAAATAAACTGGGGTTGTGGTCATTGATCTGTTCTTGAATGTCTGAATTGTTAGGGGACAATACCCCGCTGAGATTACACCTCCAGTGTGTACTTAGCTGGAAGAACATGTTGAATCTTCAGTGTGTCTCTTGATTAAACAGCTCTTCCCTCATTTCTATAAATAAAACTTTGTAAATCTGTTTTTGCACACAAAAAAATCTGATTTGTAATACTTCCAATTGTAGATTAACTGAAATGTAAAATTATTTCTGTTTGTTCAGGGGATTTTTTTATTTTTTAAATTTTATTTATGTGTGTGTGTGTGTGTGTGTGTGTGTGTGTGGCCAGCTCAGCCCACCAGGGAGCGGGGCTGGCTGGCATGTGGTGCTGGGGGATTGAACCGCGGTCCCTGTGCTTTGCTAAGCTTGTTCTAAGTAGGTGCTTTAGACCACTGAGCCATCTCACCAGCCCCAGGGGATTTTTTTTTAAAGTCAAAACTTTTGTAGACAATTTAAGAATTCAGTTCATGTATTTCATATATTAATCCACTGGTGATTATTCTGTAACAATTTTTATAAATGGTAAATTATAGATGTGGTATTTTATCTAGATATAAAATTTCATATGTATTAAAATGTACAAAGTTTTTGTTAATAAAATTTAATAATTCTTTAGAAACCCAACAACAAAAGAGAGCATATTGGCATAGCTTGCCATGGTGGTGAATGCCTGTAATCCCGGCACTCAGTAGGCTGAGCCAGGGAGATCACTCTGAGTTTGGCTGTAGCTTGTGTTACATAGTGAATCCAAGGCCAGCCTGGACTACATAGCAATTAGAAGACAGAATCCAGAAATAAATTCACACTCTACGATTCACTGATTGTGAACAAGGGCAGCAAGAACGTACATGGGGGAAATAACAGTCCCTTCAATAGTTTTAGAGAACTGTATGTCCACTGCCAAAGTAGGAAATTGTACCTTATCACCCTGTATATAAAAACCAACTCAAACTTGGGTATTGGGGAATATAACATGGCTGAAATCCCAGCACTTTGTCATGCTGGGGCAGAAGGATTACAAATTTGAGACTGACTTGGGCAAGGTAGTGACTTAGTGAAACCTTGTGTTCAAAACTGAACAATAAAAAAGCCCTTTAAAAGAAGGCATGGAATATAATTGATATAGCTCAGTGAAAAGGCCCTGGGTTCAGTCTGTAGCACACACACATAAAAAGAACAAATAAAAATGGAACTGTTGTAGTCAGGGTTTGCAAGGGAAAGGATTTAATACAGGACACATAATTTATAGTATTACTTTATAATATTTACCCAAAGGGTCAAATGCAAAAGAGTATGGGCAATCTGGCCACACATTAGAGACCTAAAGAATATAGCAGAGGGCCTTGCCATGTAAACGTCCTGCATGAGTTCAACTGAAGACCTAGAGCCTACAACAATGCCTCCCCCATGAGTGTAGCTGGAGCCCTAGAGCCCATGACCATGTCTCATGCAAGTTTGTATCAAAGATTGGCCCTAAGAAGTCCAAAGGTCAGTGGTGGATGCTAGAAAGTCTTCACCAGCAGGATGGAGGATCTGGGCCAGCAGCCTGAGCAATCTGCACTGGAGTCAGGAAGTACTGCTCAAAGTAAGGACCAGAGCTCTCCCCAAAAGAACCACAGCCATACTCAGCAACAGCAAAGACCTGAGCTCTTCCAGTGACAAGAACAGCTGAGTTCATATCAGGAAAGCCAGCATGACAAATTTCTCCAGGAGAATCAACAGCACAACCTCTTCCTCTCCAGTTCTCCTTTTTTATGTTGTTTGCAATAATAATCCTCAGGTGGGCCTTCCACACCCAGCACCACGTTGATTCAGTTCAGTTAGGTGTTACAAGTTGACCAGTTATCAATCCACTACAGGGCCCATTTCAGAAAATGTGGAAAAATCAAAGATTTTTCTGACCTGTGGCTTAGATTAATCATGTTCTATTTTCTTGGGCTGAGACCCTTGCTGAGTCAAATAAAACTTTGGTGTTATTTTAAAGTGGGAATTCTATTGGGCTAATGTTGATATTCACAAGAGCTATAGTTTGGGGATAATTGGAATGTGTCTCTCTAGGGTTCATATGCTGAGAGATTGTTACCCATGTGTAACATAGTTAAGAGGACTGGGACAATAGGGTCATTGCCCTTGGAAGAAAGTAGGGTAGTTCTCATTGGGCCCTCATTTGTTTCTCATGACAGTGCTGTTATAAAAGAGTGAGCCTGATCCCTGGAACCCTGTTTGGCTTTCTGTTCACCATTTGATCTCATTCTCTTTCATACATTCTCACCACGATGCTATCCAGTACAATGTGATATCGCCAACAGGGCCCTCACTACAGAATGAATCAGTGGACCTACTTGATCTTAGACTTGTGGCCTCAAAATGTACTCAGTGTCAGGTATTTTGTTATAGTAACAGAAAATGGGTGAAAATAGTAAACACTTGATATAAGTTCATTATTTTATTTATTTATTTAGTGGAACCAGGGATTGAACTCAGGCCCCTGTGCTTGCCAGGCAAGCGCTTATTCTACTGAGCCATCTCCTGGCCCTCAGAATTTCATTATTTTAAAAAGTTGTATTGGATACAGTTAATAATGATACATGGTCACATGTCTTTATTACCCTAGTTCACACTGAGCGAACCTCCAGGCACTTGGAGTAGATTACTCACACTTCAACCTGACTGCAGATTTGTAAACAGGCCAGCAAAGCCAGCTTAGATAATGAGAGCTTCCTGGGCAACCAAGTGATTTTGAAGATGATTTTGATGGTAAGCAACTAAGTTCTGGAATGTGTTGTTATATAGCAAATTCTGTTATAGGCGACCAAGGTGATACTTTTTTTTTTCTCCCCCATAGAAAACTGACACAAGGGGGCCGGAGAGATGGTTCCGTAGAATAAGTGCTTCCCTGGTAAGCGCAGGGCCTGAGTTCACTCCCCAGTTCCACCAAAAAAAAAAAAAAAAGAAAACTGACATGAATTTTCCTTGCTTGAGAAAATCAGAAGGCCTGCCTGGCCCCACCCCTGGGGAGCACTGAGACGGCTACTGAGCCTGGGCGTGGGCGTGCGCGCCTGTAATCCCAGCACTTGGGAGGCTGAAAACAGGAGGATCACGACCAGTCCGATCTGTGTAGTGAGACCCTCTAGACCCTGTACTAAGTACATTAAAAAAAGAAAAGGAAAGAAAATCAGGAGAAAAGAGGCCAATGAGGGAAAGATCAAGGTATTAATTCCCTGCAATCCCTTCCTTTGCATCTCTGTAGACTGGTTATGTTTCTGGCCTAAATACCTCCATTCCTGTTAGGTAGTCTTAAGTACATAGTTTCTAGTTGTAATACTCCCTCCCCCTGTTCTTTTCATCTAAGGGGCAGTTTTGAATTTATGATATTGCTGAGTCTCCCTTGTGATCTTTCAAATTCTTGCCTACATTCCTGTTCATAATCCCTTATTAAACTCTCTTCTAATTCTCCTAATTTGATTATGCCATCTGCTTCCTGAGAGTAGGCTTTATCCAGAGGTAATACCTTGGCAGAGACTTGAGTGACCTGATGGAATGAGTGACGAAGATGTCTGGGCGAAGTGCCAAGATTTTGCCTCAGTGGCAAATCGGGTGACCTGCATGAGCGAGTTAGGGAGGAGCACAGAAAACAAGACCAAGAGTTAGCTGTACGCGGGTGTTGAGGGTGGAAATGTGTGGTACAAGCAAGGCAGATGCAAATGGCTTTGTTGGCTTTAAGAATTTTAGCTTTTACTTTGAGAAAAATGGAGAGCTGCTCTTTCGGGTCCTCCTTTCCAAGATGACGAAAAAAAGAAGAAACAACGGTCGTGCCCAAAAGGGCTGCGGTCATGTGCAGCCTATTCGCTGCACGAACTGCGCCCGGTGCGTACCCAGGGATAAGGCTATTAAGAAGCTTGTCATTCGGAACATAGTGGAGGCCGCCTTCCTCAGGGACATTTCCGAAGCGAGCGTCTTCGACAGTCATGTGCTTCCCAAGCTGGATGTGAAGCTGCATTATTGTGTGAGTTGTGCCCTTCACAGCAAAGTGGTCAGAAATCGATCTCGTGAAGCCCGCAAGGACCGAACTCCTCCACCCCGATTTAGACCTGCTGGTGCTGCCCCACAACCTCCACCAAAGCCCATGTCAGGGGAGCTGGGTCTTAGTGGACTGAAGAAAACTCTTGAGAAAGAAATAATAAATTGAATGGTATACTTTATATAGTATGTTGAGTGTACCTGCCAGAGGTGGGTTGGGTTAATTCAACCTATCCAAGTTTAAGTTTGTACTCTGCAAATGAATAAAGAGGAACACACTGGAAGGGGTTTCAGGAGCATAAAAAAAAAAAAAAAAGAAAGAAAGAAAAAAAAAGTAAAAAAAAAATGGAGAGCTGCTAGTGCCATCTCCTCACATCCAATTAAATCTAATTACATTGCTTTCTGCTATGTACTGACAGTACAGTGCTACAGTGCTGCAGTTCAGCACTGAATTTCTCCTCCCAGGCTGTGTGTGCCTCAAAGATGAATGTGTGGGTGTGTTCAGGGAGTCTAGCATGCATGGGTCCGAGTTCAAGGCTTTGTGTCTCTTCTGATGCTAGGGGTGACATGACCTTCTCTTAGTCATAATTCAGTCTAGAGTGTCTTTTTGTTGTTGTTGTTGTTGCTGTTGTTAGCATATTCTTTTCAGTTCTGCTAACGATTTGCGAGTAGGCACATTTTTCTTACTGTCTTTGTTGTTGTTGCTAAAGTCAATAGGCTCTTCTATACTGACTTCAAAAGTGTACCTATCTGAAGGGTTTTGTACAATAGAGAACTACTTCACGGGAAATATTCAAAGAGTTTAGCAGGAATACTGTGTGTCTGCTTACCTCTTAGAGGTGCTGGCTTGTCTGAAAAATATAAAAAGCAAAGAGATCATTTGCATGTATGACTCTCCAGAAAATAGTACTGAAACATATTTTAATTCTATAACTGAAATTTCCACTAAAACTTTTTTTTTTTTTTTTTTTTTTTTGTGGAACAGGGGATTGAACTCAGGTTCTTGCGCTTGCCAGGGAAGCACTTATTCCACTGAGCTGTCTCCCCAGCCCCTAAAACTGTGTATTATGGTACTAATTATTGGTCATCCTCTGAAGGTCACATGAATAATCTGGATACTTTAAAAAATATTTATTTATTTATTTGGCACAGTGTCTGGCTATGCAGCTCAGACTTATGGTGATCCTCCTGGGATTATAGGACTGTGCCACCACACCCAGTTTCAGTGGCTGGCATGTCATGGGAGCTTCGGTACTGGGGATTGAACCCTGGTCCTTGCATTTACCAGGCAGGTGCTTAGACCTCCGAGCTATCTCCCCAGCATGGATACCTTCTAAATCCATACCACCTCCATGGGAGTTCATTGTCTCTCTTCGTTTTCTCAGGAATTCTCCAGGCTAGCTTTTTTTACTTGTGTGAGTCCTGACATTCATATTGGGTGGCGTGTATCCCAGTCAACCAAAAATGTCACTTCTTAGGGCTCCTCTTAACCAAAACTCTAATTATAAGTTGTAGCTGTACGAATCAGGGCCCATTTTTTTTTCCTGTTAGTATAAGAGAAAGCAGGCTGTTTAGTTGGTAAGGTGAGTTTAGTAGGCAGGAAACTTTTCTTCCTAGCTAGAAGCAGTGGCCTATTAGAACCACTCTGGTTTCTCTTCTACATTTCATCTCAATTTCTTTTTAAATTTGTCATTATTGCTACTTAAAAAAAAAATTCCAGCCATGTATGGGAAGAGGGTCATTCCAGTGGACATTAGGAGAAAGAGAACTGAGTGAGGAAACCAGCTTTTTGGTTCTTCTGTGGCTCTTCTCAAATCTATTATGCTGTATTATCTCAAAGATTAAATGTCAATCTTCTAAAATTTTAGTTTCCTTCTCTACAAATTTACAGGGTTAAATTATTGAAACATTAAGAAATTTTGAGATCCAACATAAGAGTTTCAAGTTCTTAAAAAAAAAACAAAACAAAAAAAAAAACAAAACCAGGGCTGGGGATATAGCTCGGTGGCACAGCACCTGCCTGGCAAGAATGAGGTCATAAAAAGAGTAAACAAATGTAGCCACATGCTTCTCTAGGAATGGGCACCAGGGATTGATCAATCACCTTAAAACAGCCTAAATGAGTCACTAACCCAACCCCCAACAAGAAGAAACCCTGACCTGTATTCGTGCCCACTTGCTATGTGTGACTCTTCCCCATTTGATTCTGATTTAATCAACTTTATCTAAGCAATGGTGCTTATAATCTCATTGGCTGACCATAGTTTTGTCCCACATCATACCCACCTAAGCGAGTTTCCGTGTTCTCCACTACCTTAGATTTGCCTCACCACCTGGTTTTCCTCTATAAAAGTCCCTGGAAGAGACAGCTTCCCAAGGACAACCCACTCAGGGACCCCCTTCTGTCCTTCTCTTGAACAGAAGCTTTCTTCCCTCAATAAATATATTCTGCTCATTAAAAAAAAATGAGGTCATAATTTCAATTCCTGGTTACCAAAAAACCCCCAAACTCTCAACAACTGTAACATAATTATCATTGTATATTAGAGAATATTTTCAACATTAGAAAAAAACCCAGGCTCTGCAGCTCAGTGATAAAGCACTTTCCTATCATGGGTTCAATCTCTAGTACTGAAAAAAAAAAAAAAAAAAAAAACAGTTCAGTGGTGCATACCTGCAATCTAAGCTGCTCAGGACACTGAGGCAGAGGGTCAGGAGTTGGAGGCGAGCCTGGCAGCACAATGAGACTTCATCTCAAAACAAAGAAATCAAAGTATAGTCTCAAAAAACATTAAAAAACTGAATAAATTTATTTATAGAAAAACTCAGTACATTTTTCATATGTCAATAAACATTTCTTCACTGGGATCTCCTGAGAGCCTTGTTCATTCTATCTATATTTTGGCCTTGTCAAAATAATTATGGTGATTCCTAAGTCGGCCTCCAGGATAAGCTGGTACCTTGAGGCCCTGGATTGTATCTTCTTGGTAGTTTTTATGTCTAGCACAGTGCCTGGTGTAGAGACAAATTACACAGAGTAAAAGGTGATACAATCCTGGGTGAATTGAAGCTTATTTCTGGAAAGGGCAAACTTAGTAACGGTGAGGAAGGGACAAGTCAAGTCAGTCAAGTCAGCTCTGGATCCTAGGGTCAACAATCTGGTGTTCAGTGCTGCTCTACTATGAATATCTGAGTCTGCTTCAGATTTTTATGTTGAAAGCTAATATCCAATGCAATAGTATCCAGAAATGGGGGTTGGCAAATGGCATGAAGTCATGAGTAAGTAGGATTAGGGCTCTTATAAGAGGTATGGGGGGTTGGGACATAGCACATTGGTTATATCCAATGAGTATGTGAGTATTTAGTGTTTCGCCTACAAGAAACCCCATATTCAGGCCGCAGTTCCGCAGGGAAAAAACCCCTGAGGCTCCTTGCTTCACCTGCTATTTGGGGACACTAAGAAGGCACCACTTATGAAGATCAGGCTCTCATCAGACACCAAATCTGCTGACTTCTCCCTTGGAATTTTCAGTCTGCTGATCACTGAGCATAGCATTTATATTGTAATTACTCAGTCCAAGGTGTGTTTTAGAAGACCAAATGTGCTAAGGTAGTGTCAAAAGATAGACCTACCATCATTTAAGAGAAGTGGGCATTTCCCTATGTACTTCCACAGGTGGCCTACGTGTAGAAGCAGGCTATTTATTTATTGAGAAGTAGGTGTGCGGATACAAATTTAGGCTTTGCACTAGCTTAGTATGTGACCTCAGTCAAGATGCTTCATGTCCTGAGTGCTCAGGTGCTTTATTTATAAAATGTGAATAATAATTGTACCTGCCTCATTAAGTTATTCTGTGAATTAAACAATTACTTAAAATGGTGTTGTTCACATGATTCATGTTCCATCATAATTCTGATGAAGCCCAAGACACAGGAATAGGTAACACCAAGCACTAAAATGTTCCTAAGGGAAGTTCTGTTGCATTTGGAAGACTGGCGGGGAACACCGTCCAAGTCCACAACATCAAAAGGCAATTAGAAACCTTGCTCCGGGCGCGGCGGGCGGCAGGACGGCGTCTGCCCTCCAGCCGGTCGGCCAGGCAGTCAGGCCACACACACCATTCACAAGGTTCCCGCACAGAAGAGACAAGCCGAAACCCGGCGCACCCCAAGCTTGGAGATCTGCAGGGATTCCACCGCACTCCTCCGCAAAGGCACAGCTTTCTAAGGGGGGAAGTCACCGACCTGCCGCGCACCCGGCCGCCAGACGCGCGGAAATAACGAAAGCGCCTCCGCAGCAGGGCGGCCGCAAGCGGAACCTCAGGACGGAGCGGAGTCGTCCCAGCGGAGGTCCAGCCTGCCGACCTGGCTGCGGGTGGTCGTCACGCAGAAGAATTATCTCTATAATGTGGGGCTGGGGGCCTGCCCCTTAGCTCAGCTCTTTAAGTGGCTGCTTCCACAAAGCAGTCAGGCTCAGGTTGCTGTGGCTAGATGCCCACAACTCAAGCCGGCCAAACCTGCCCTGAAGGCATGCGGAGGGAGGGGAATCCATATAATGTGGGACTTCCAAAATGACATGTGAAAAGTTGTATATTAAATAACCTTAATAAATATTCTACAAAAAGAAAAAGAAATACAGAAAATTCAGATGGAAAAACATTACAAACCTCATAAAACTCTTTTCTCCCAAAGGAAAAGAGATTGAATATATAAGAAGGCTAATATTAATATATTACAGAATGAACGCAACATAGGTTACTGTAAGAATTAGAAGAGTCAATGCTACATAATCATTTTTATAAGGTAAAGTACAGAAAACCAAATCCTTTATACAAATGAGAATTTAACACATTACAATGAACTTGGAAATCTAAGAAAACTACCACTGACAAAGTCTCACAGCAGTCACAAATCACGACCTCTTGGGACGGTGCCCAGAGTTTCTTTATTAAAGCTTCTCAGATGCAACTAAAGGCTCACCAGAGTCCACCAACAGTCGAGCAAGTTTATAACTGCTCAGGCTAAGGTTTGTTTTATCAGAGAGATGGACCAAGACGGTGTCCCAGGTAGATCTACCATCATTTTCACACCTCTTGCGCTATAACTCTCAACTCTGGTCTCGAGCATAATTTCCACCTCTGCTATCCGCTTCACGCGGCTCAGGTTTGCCTGCCCCTCTCTCGGGTTCTGCTCCATTGTGCCAGAGGTCTGCTACTCATTTCCGACTTCGGGAGAAGAGCGGACATCTGTGCCCACAGGTAGGCACTCAAAATCAGGCCAAATTACCCCAGCGGTGACAACCGCTCGAGCCGGCTCCTCCCAGATTAAATCCGAAAGGCCAGGGCTCCAGCGCCTTCTGGAGACCAGAGGCTCGGAGCAGGGCAGGCGAGACCGCGGCGCTCGGTGCGGCCCGGTGAACTGCAGAGACGAAGCAGCGGCCACCGGGGAAGAACCGGGGTCTCCGCGGCTCGTCAGCCGTCGGCTTTACATTTTGTGACTTCCTACTGTTATTGGTGCCTTTCTTCCCCGCTTCTGGTTACAGCTCTCCCCAAGACCAAGTTGCTCCCGGCGCGGTAAGCCAAAGCGAGCGTCCGCGCGTGCCGCAGTTGCGTCTGCGGGAAGGCTCCGGAGTCGGCCTTCCTCCCGGCCAGCTTCGCCCCGCCCACCCCACCGCCCGCCCCGCCCACCCCACCGCTCGCTCTGCCCACCCCACCGTTTGCCCATCTGTGTCCGCCCAGCTCCGACCCCCCACCCAGCCGCCGGCCCAGCTCCGTCCGCCGAGCTCCGTCCGCCCAGCTCCGCCTCACCCGCCCGGCTCCGTCCGCCCCGCTCCGCCCGCCCAGCTCCGTCAGCCGAGCTCCGCCCAGTCCACCCCGCAGCCAGCCAGCCCTGAGCTCTAGGCCGCAGGGCGCTTCTCACTGGGCGCCCCGCCCTCAAGGCGTAGGGCCCGGCCTCGGCCCGAGACGCGCATGCGCAAACGAGGGGGCGGCCCACAGCGGGAGGAGGCGGGGCGGGCCCTAAACGCTGCAGCCCATTGGCTGCTGCCTTTTGCAGCTCCCGCCCCCAGGGTGCGGGCGGCGAGGCGTGCCACGTCAGGTTGCGGACGCTGGCGGAAGGGAGCTGTAGCAGAAGGGAGGTGAGCTGTGCGGCTGCTGGACGGCCCTCCGCGGGCTGCTGACTCCTGCAGGGAGCTGCCCTGTCGCGCCGGTTCGTCTGTGGCCAGTCTGCTTGCGTGGAGGGCGGCGAAGGCCCTGCGGGCCCCGGCGCCGCGCTGCGAGGTCGCGCAGTGGAGCACGTGGTGGCTGGAGCTGGTCGCGGCGTGGGCGCGCTGGGAAGGCAGGGACTGCTGTTGGCCCTCGGTTCTGCCAGCCTGGGCCCTGAAGGCGGGCGGACTGGGACTTTCGGTTCGAAGAGCTCTGGAAGGCCGGCCCGTGCTGGCTCGAACGAAGCTTCCAGACTCCGAAGCCGGCTGGCGCCGCCGGTGCTTGCAGTCCCGCCTGCAGCAGGTTGCAGGCCCCGCTCCCTTTTTGGCCGGCTTCCTGGGGGCAGCGCCAGGGGTCCTGCCCGCCTTGCCTGGCCGGGGTGACAGTCTCCTAATCGCCTAGGACTCGGATGTAGGTCACTTTAATGCAGAGGCTTATGGGTGAGCAGAGCCTGTGTTCCGACCTCCCTGGTTCTCTTCTCTTGTGCGCATTTCCCGAGGAAAGGTCCGGAACTGCTCTGTGGAAGTTTGCAGAGACCTGCAGTTAGGTTGCGCCTCTCCTTGAGTCATTCCAGCCATGGCCTTAGGCCCCTCCAGTGAGATTCCTCAGTTGGTAGATTTTTGAAATTAATGAAGTCGTTCTGTCAGTCCCATGCCGTCATTGACTCATTCATTGAGAACTTCCTTGATGGATTCCTTGATAGGATCTTATGCTTGATACCAAAATCCACGTTTTCTCCTTTTCTGCCAGTTTTGTTGATAAGAATTGTCTGAGTTGATGAGAATTGAGTTGGGCTTTTTTTTGGGGGGGGGTTATTGGCTCAGTTTTAGGCGCTAGATTTACTTATAAAATTATGAGAACTTTTCGGGGACCCTTAATTAAGTGTTCCTTCCTTTCTGCTCTAGTTAGTAAGCCTTGAACAAAAATGGATCTGAGGGGTAACCTGCTATGTATCGAGAAATGTAATAGGTCCAAGTCTGGATACTTTTAGAAGTATTCTGTAACTTTGAGATACTACAGGAGAGGGTAGGTATATAGCATATTTACAGAACTGTGCTAAGAATTGGGAACGGACCATTAAAAAATGATTATATGTTTTACTGTTTCAGTGAACACAGAATCTTTGTTCATTTTTTACTTTTTGTCTAGCGAGCAAGCACAGTTTTACAGTTGACATCCGATTCCTGCAAAGAAAGCACTATGACTCACCTAAAATTTGAAATGTAATAATCATGAGATTGCTAATGTTATATATAAAAATAGTAAGAAAAAGCTGCATATGAGTTCCATTTTCACTGCATTTTGATTTGCTGTGTAGATTAATGGTGGGGTTGGCTTTCCTGGTTAATGTTAGGTACTATTGCTTAGATAATATCTGTCAGTAACATTTCTATTTTAACATTTGTCATATCAGCCCAGCATTGTTTTTTAGTTAATTGATGTCTTCAATTGAGGTCTGGCAACTACAAAGTAAATAAAACTATTACTCTGCAATGAAAATACTTACTAAAGAGATACAGCAGCTTTTCACTTGCTAGTTGCTAGATGGTAC